CAACCATAAACACATGAAAAGACCTAAGTTTACAATTTATGATTAAAACTCTACTATCTACACAATATACATAGACATAAAATGTAAAAACTTAAATATCTTAGAAACAGTAGCCAATCAGTTGTTTTAATTGTCATATTTGAATTCAGCACATCAAAATACATAATAAATAGCACATTTTATCTCTGAAGCAGACGACTTCTCAAAAATTGTAGACCAGTGTTATCCAAGCATGGGAAAAATATGGTATACATTTATTTTTTGACATGGCCAGAACCCAATTTTAATTGTCTTTCGCAATCAATTTTAAAAAAATTGCTCCTAGAGTAAGACCTTGTTAGCCAAGTTTTATCCAAGGCAAATTTTTAAACAGCCATATTATATTACCCAGAGAATAGGAGTTTACAATGGAAACATTGACTCCTCCCCCCGGAACTGATGTGAATGGCATTACTATAATTTAATTACTCTTCTTTTCCTTTCTGCCACAAGGTGTGAAATGTTAGGTTTATACCTTATGAGAGCACAAGCGATCATACCACAGTACTGATTTAATGGGTGGTAAATGAATTCATTCACTATCCAATTACATTCTGAGAGTGTTCGCTTTAACAGGCTGACTACTTTGCTAATTTATCAGCTAATCACTACAAACACATTTGGCCTCAGTTCAGAGACTGTTGGGTCCTGAATCGCACGCTGGGACTAATAGTACTGAAAAACCTGACATAATTCTGCCTAATGAAATTAGTGCAATCCTGACACACACAGCTGGGGACAAGTTGGAACAAATGTTTGTTTGTCCAAGGTCATGAGTGTCTCCCCGCACACGTACGTGCAAGAAAAGTTCAATATTGGTATTAATATTTCATAATGTCCTTGCCTAATAATTGTAACTAAAAACACATGACAGGATGGAAAAGTCAATTTTCATACAAACAGAACAGTCTTGCACTGACTCAGAGGGAGCGTTTTTTGTTTTTGATTGGATGAGTAAAGCATATTTTCATTGTGATGAATGCAGGCTAGTAGGCATTGTGCTTGGACTGGTATATTTTCCACAGATTGAAGTATGGCTTTGTGGTAAGACACTGAGCTGTGATTTAAGAAATCTGAGCTCAGTTCCTGGCTGTGGCACAGATTTCCTCTGGGATCTTGGGCAAATCACTTCAGTTTCCCACCTGTAAACTGGAGATAGATAAAGGATGAGAAAAAGCAGCATGTCTGTCTCGCTTATTTAAATTGTAAGCTCTTCAGGGCAGGGAGCTTTTTACTAGGTGTTTGTTCACTGCCCAACACAATGGGGCCTTTGTCTCATTTGGGGCCGTTGGTTGCTACTGCATTATAAATAATTAATAATCTTGCCAGGCTACAAGAGTGCTATAATAAGGATAGCCATTGTAACCTTGTTTGATACAGCCCTATTTATGGGGTACATTTTAAAGGGGTGGGGCTAGAGCAAGTGTTTTATCTGGGAACATGATATGGTCAATATAAAAACTGGTGTTAAATGTTGGGCTACCCACCAGTGTGCATTCTTTCTGGAGGAACAATAGTGCAAAGCCATATATTTAGAGTTTGATAACTAGAGAAAAGCTGCACACAAAAAAAGAAAGCAGGCTTTGGTAAGCCTCAACAATTAAGCCACTAAATGAAACAACTCAACTAATAACATTAGGAATAACAGATTGTTAAAAAGGGAAGTGACAGGATGGATGAGATGTAGCAAACCTGCAGTGTGGCTCCCCTGCGTCTACCGCCCCGGCCCTTTAAATAGCTGCAGGAGCCCTGGGGAAGCGGCGGGGCTCCGGTGGCTATTTAAAGGACCGGGGCGGCAGAGGCAGCTGGAGCCCCGGCACTTTAAATAGCCCCCTGGGGAAGCCGGGCCACCCCGGTACGGCACACCGGCTCTTGCTGGTACGCTTGGGTGCGGGGCCCGATTCAGGGGAATCGGTTGAATCTGCCTAAAGCCGGCCCTGAGTGTGGTGTTTGAGCAGAGACTAAGGAACAGCCTTTTAGCCTTTCGTATTGGTGGGAAAAACACAGCCTACGCTACAACAGCTGTAGCATATTCAGCCTTCTGACCAGTGTGAGTTCTCTCTGCCTTCTGTCCCAGGTTGCTGAATCTACCAGTTGCTTAAGAGCTGACCACATTTCTTTCTGACCATTGAATTGTTTAAAAGTTTTTCAGGTTCCAAATATTCCTTAGATCTCTGGAAGATGATGAGATGATCAATCAGGAGACTGTGGCCAGATATGAGAGATTAGACAAGCGCCATGGTAGCAACAGAAAGAGGTAAGCAGATCTAGCTGCTCTGGAAGGTTCCCATTGACTTCAATGGGCATTGGATCTGGCCCCAAGGAGAAGGGAAAACACACTGACCTTTTTTCTCTCAATGCAGTAGTTATTAAAGGTCCTCCAATGTTTGTTTCTTTTCACTGGGGAGTATAAAAGACAGGGCCAGCTCTAACTTTTTTGCCGCCCCAGGCAAAAAAGAAGAGCGCCGCCCCGCCGCGCCGTAACACCCTTCCCCCCCCAAGTGCCATGCCGGGCCACCCAAACCTCCGACCCCCCCCCTGCTGCGCCGCTCGCGCCGGGCCGC